CTCTTCTTTTCTTTTCTTCTTCCTCAATTTTCCTTCCCTTTATCTCCTCGTTTCCTCTTTGCTTTCCATTTCCTTCCTTCTCTCTTATTTTTTTATGGGGGGGGGGGGGGAGGCGACAGCTTGGGAAGCGAGGTCATTTTGCCCCCCCCCCCCCGATCTCTTTCGCCCCCCCCCCCCCGATCTCTTTTCTTCTTCCTCTTCTTTCTTTCCCTCTCTCTCTCTCCTCTTTCCCTTCTTTCCCTTCTCTCTCTCTCTCTTTTTTTCCTTCTTTTGTTTTCCTTCTTTTTTTCCCTTCTCTTTTTTTCCTCCTTTTTTTCCCCTTCTCTTTTTCCCAGGGGTGGGGCCCCCCTGGATCCCCAAGTGGGGGGAGGGGGCAGTCACGAACACTCCCTCCCCTTCAATATCGTACTCTAGATGTAAAATTAACCCAAAGTCTTTGTATTTAAACCATACAGAGTACCGTCGACCCCCCCCCCCCCCCCCCGCTCATTGTGAAGTATTCAATCTTTTGCATTTTATATAATTTCTTGATGATATTTGATTAGCATATCTTTCAACAACAAAAAATCTGTATTTCAAGTTAAAATTGTACATCTGGTAGAGGGGAGAGAGGCTAACCACTTTTTGAATGTCCCCCCCCCCCCCCCAGCGTGCCCCTATATATTATAAGTGTTATTTTGCGGATACTACCTTTTTCCTTTCTAACATTCATCTCCAACAATAGAATGTGTCAGCACCGCAGGTCTTTGGTAATTCATTCTTTTTCTCATGCATGTTTAATAAGAATTGCGCAGTGTCACCATGCATGTGTGACGTGTCAGATTGGTCTTGTGCAATCCGCATACATTCTACATCACTTAGTGAAAATATTGCAATTGTATTTCAATGTGGGGCACTCATGTTATAGATATATGAAACTAAAGGTATTTTCTTTAGATGTGGCGTTGCTGATCTTAAAAAAAAAATGTTCTTTAGTAATGAAACCTACTCAATTCATATTAGGTACTGCCTATCGCATAGTCAAAATAGAAGAGGTATGGGGTGTTAAAGGTGTAATGGGCGGTGCAAGAATTTTGTAAAAGAGGGGGACGGGCAATTTCGAAAAAATTGTGACAAGCAAATAACTTTAAAAACACTCAATGGTCCTGTTTAACCAAACCAAAAAGTGGAGTACAGACGCTTGTGACCCAACCATCCCCTCCCTACCGAGAATTCGCCTTCACACGGGTCTAGTAGTAAATAAAGACACTGTCATTGTTCGGGGCTAACGGTCTAATGGTGGGTGAAATGCGAGCTAAAACGCCTAGCAATTGAGAAAGAGTGTGGATAAGTGTCATTTCACCTTCGTTTCACCAAACACTCCCACCCCCTCTCTCTCTCTCTCTCTTTATTTCCTCTACCATTCGACTATAAGCAAACTGTTGAGTCCCCTGTTGCACCCAGTTCGTCATCTTTGAACCCTATGCAATAATACTACGATTTATGACTGAAAGAAATCTCAATGTAAATTATATCAACTATGTTTGATAGAAGCATCCCTCTTCCCCCGTAGTGTACACATTTACCATGATATGCCTTTTGTTTCCTTAAAGATAAAGGTGAGTTCTGGTCATCCGATTGCATTGTGAAAGAAAAGGTGTGGAATGGATCAGAAAAGGTTGATCATGTAGCATGTAAGTATTTCGTGTGCACTGCAAAGTTCTGGAGTCATCAAAATCATAATAAATTTGTACCAGTCTTGGTAAAGGAACAAGCACTGCACACAGAAAGATGTATATAGGACTGCACACATGGTATCGGGGCGACCAACTTTTTATTAGCACGATGTAGATTTGGTAATTTATGATGCTAATGAGAAAGAGACTTCCTCGCTTAGTAACTATGAGGTGACAATTGACAGAATATTTCGTAGTTTCTATGTTGGAATGAGCTGAAGCATTTAAGATCCCCCCACACCAAACACACACACACAAAGACATGTTAATACATGTGTGTACAATGCCCCCTCCCCTAATGTAGATGGATCAACGCCCCTGCAAATGAGGAAAACCACTGACTCGATGATACAGTACAGATACCACAGTGGTAGAACAATGTTCGGAGATTGATTCGTTACAAGATTCTGAACAACAGCAAAAACACAAAAACTTGAGTTCATTAGTCATGTGAACGAAATCTGAAATGAATATGCAAAACATATGACTGTGCGTGAGTGATATGCTGTGAGGTTTGAAACGATCAAAAAGAAAAGAAATTGACTGAATATTGCTGAAAATCACAAGAACCGCGTACGAAAATTAGTATATGACACTGTCTGCACACACATCTGGCATGAAAGTTTGGTCGAAACAAAAAGTAGTAAACATATTAAATTTTAAAAATACATTTTTTTCATTGTTCTATTTCATGAACACGTGTGAGTTCAAACTTAGGTTGAATAAATCTCCATCATAAAATTGAACACCAATCAACCATGCTACTATAATAAACGACCGTGAGGATATAAAGTCAGTATAATAATATAATGTCAACCTTTCTTCCCGAATTCTGACAAGAATAATTTCTCCATAATTTAGTACTTGTCAATATTATTCAATTTGGAAGTACATTCTTTGATCGACTTTCATCTAATACACTGTTCTTCCTTGTCAAACCTTAACAACGATAATAGTAAATTATTGGTATTAGGTGATGGAAATTTATTCAACATGTAATGAATAATTCCACAAAGCCTTTAATGACAATCTTGATGTTTATACATAATATTTATGTTGTACATATTCTACCGATTCTTTCTCATATTTCAATAGATACGAGAGATAATTTTCACCAACTGCATGACCTAGAAGTATATATATCCTCTTCATTTTATCTTTATTTCTATTTGTTCCCTTTCACAGGGTTCCTTTAATACATAATATCATTCAAATGTGTATAAAGGAAGAGATATATACATGCACAATTTCAAAGTGATAGATTTTTGGCCATTCAAAAGATAACAAGAACATACATTTATAAATATCAGTTACAAATTGCAGTTCATTTTTAAGATATCAAATATTTACTTTTAAGATTTAATTTTTTTTCAGAAGAAATAAACAATTAGAAACACTTTGTAAAAGGTAACCGCTTGTTCATAAATGTCTTTTCTTTCAAATTTGTTTTTTATATATATATATATATATATATACTTTTCCATATCATAATAACACTTTATCGCTGATATTGTTTTAAAAAACCGGCAAACAATGTTTGCATTTGGCTGCAATTTTTTGTTTGCACTGTTGTTATTTCAATGAAACCCAAACAATTTATTTTTATTTTTAAACTTAATATGTACATGATTACGAGACAGCCAATGCTAAAGTTTAACCATATTTTGTTGGAATAAATACAGTAACATAATATCTGTATATCTTTTTCATCTTAATAGTATCATCGCTTCTAATCAAACCTATCGATTACAAAAAAAGCATGAGTAATATTCAAATAAACTTTAAACATGAAACGTGACAGTATGAATCACTGCTCTACACGAAATAGACTTCATGTACATCTTATTTTCTATTTACATCATGTGGGGTTATAATAGAAAATCGTAGTGTTTAACAATGCTTCAATTTCTGAGTAGGATGGTTGTTCATGTAATACCGACCAAGAGACAACATTCATATGTTAATTCTCAAAATTCACCTGTCACTACACGTTTAAAAGTACATAAAGTTCAACCTTATCAACATTGCATATTAAACACATGCAACAAGTTTTTTCACATGTGCGTCATCTTAAAGCAATACTGAACTGATGAACTTTCTGTCTTTTAGCAGACTGTTAATTGCACAGCGCCATCTCACGGTCAACTTGCCAACAATGTATAACTAAATAACTAATTTCCACTTCGCAGACAGAGGACTCGATGCGAAAACCAACAGCTCTGCCATATAAGCAGCGAGTTACGAGACCATACTGCTACATTTGACCTGAGTGGGCGCTAAAAGGGATATTATTGTAGGGCTTCTAGTACAGTATGGCTTTAAAACAACTTTGAATCGTTTGGATACGATCAATATCATTATTTTAAAAGTTCCAATTTGTTATCCAATTGTGATACTCTACTCCTACTTGATGTAAACGAATGTATACCTAAAGTGCATGTATATTGAAGATCAAGACAGTGGAGATCTATTTACAACATATTGATACGAATTATTATTCTTAACAAGATATATATTTTTGCTTTGTTCTTCTATACTTTTACAGTACTATTCAAGTAATGAACAAGGAAAGTGCGCAGTAAAACAGATTATTCTGCGCCGGTAGGATTGACAAAATCCGCACATAAAAAGTACTGATTGTCTAATAGCATAGACAGCGGAAGAATATCATTGTTTGATAAAATTGGGTGATGTGTTAGTATATTTGTCGGGCAGCGAAGCGAAGGGTTATAGAGCAAATGATCCGATTGAAAGACAAACAGAAATATAAAGAATATTTACATACGTTACGAAACGATTATTTATACTTCACAAAGCACATGACATAATGATGATTGACATGACTTGATGCAGTCTCAGGCCAATGTTATGCTCCGTCAGAGTAGCCAGTGCTCATTTCGTCAATACAAATTGTATCGATATCTTACAATTTCAATCCTGTAAATGACACATCAAATACTTTCTCTTTTTGTAGTGCAAATTGTAGTCTTTCATAAATAATTTCAAAAAAGAATACTGAAACCAATACATTCTAAACAGATCAAAAAGACTAAGGCAAATCAGTGTACTACGAATTCGTTATCAATTTATTCTCCGCGCGTTATTCATCTCATTGAACAATATAATAGCTTGGATCAATTAACAATCTTTCAATACAGCATATCTGGATAAAGATCTATGATACGAAGGTCAGTGGAATTCATAGACCGTGTTTAATATTGATTGTTTACATCTTCCTGCAAAATGTCTAGCAATATCTTATGTAAGAATATTATGATCGCATATTCAGGCATAAAACGGGACATAGTTTCTTTGGTGTCCTCCTCTGCGACCACCCCTTCTACCTCGACCTCTTCTTCCACGTCCTCGTCCCCTACCCCGCTGGCCTTGCTGACCACCAACACGTCGATGACTGGGCACATTCTGTATATGGTCACCTGGTTGTCCTACAGCTGCAGAAGCCTCGGAGCGGACTCTCTCCTGCTCAGCCAAGACGCAGTCCTCGCACGCGCCCTTCTTGAGCTGTTGCTTGAAAACAGGATGTCCTTTGGCACAAGTAAACCACATGGATACTTCTAAAGAAAGAAGTGGAGTGCGTTTGAAAGTCGGTAGGTCACTGCCAGTATGACTGATTCCATTAGCATTGCGAATTCCATTGAGGAGGACATGTGCTAATGTCATATTCCTATTCTGGCCCAGGATTTTGAGAAGTCTGGGTACTTCGGTTGTTTCTGTTGCTCCGCCCCTCACTACTTTGGCCAAGTCGCACATGATTGTCACTCGATCCAACTCATTCCAGAGGTCGTTCGCGTGCTGATCTACGAGCTCATTCGGTGGTGACTTGCTATGTCTGGCCAGTTCCTCTATTGATGCCCGGAGTAGTTCATAAAGCTTTTTCAAATATGGCCGGTTCACCGTTGACCCTTTTCGTGATAGTCGACAGTATCTAAGCAACGCTAGTGGTGACAAAAGCCGAATGGTTTCTTTCGCCGACATGACGGCTGAGTTGACTTTAAGGAGGAGGTGTTTGCCTTCATTGCTATTGCGAGCATCCTGTAGCTTTTCCACGATTCGCGGCTTAATCCTTGAAGATTCTCTCAGAAGATTACTGTAGCGACGACATAACTGGATGGGTTTTTCGCATCTAGGACAGGTTTTTACCTTAAAAATGATACAAAATAAATACCTATATTAATTTCACAGTGATCAATGAAGCCCAAATTGACTGATACATCAAACACTTTAGGTGTCAAAAGAATGTATCATTTTTACATGAGTTATATGAATTATGCCAAGTTCTTTTTCTTCAACTGTTAACGCATTTACACATACATCTACTTCTTGATTAAGAGGTTTGTCTTTTATTTGTTATGAGTATATAATATTTATCTACGATAAAGCGTGCTAAAAGTATTGTGATATGATATGAGTGATAAGAGTGAAAGAACAAATCAATTAATATTTAATGAAAACAAATGTTGTAGTATTACCGATAATTTGGTAAATATTTCTGCACCGTCGGATTTTGTGCCGAGTCCAAGGAACTTGTCAAGCCCTTCTACCTCAAAGTAATGGCCACAGTCTTCTAGTTGAATATACCTATAGACGTAGCAAAACAAAAATGAAATTTGTTAAATCATGCATCTAGCTCTTCTGTTGGCTTATTATCATATAGTTTTAAGGAAAGTAATTAAATCGCTCGACTTCTTTCCTAATAATTAAAGTTTATCTTTCAAGGAGCATGATGAGCGATATCAATCTAGATGTATTATCGAAGTACTAAAACGATATTTTATTCCATTGATATCTTTTTTTTTACATAGACATGAATGGTAAAGACAAAATATAAGCATGAAAATTCCACAGGTTAAGCTTCATATTGTATAATTTAGTTTTCTAATATAACGCAGAATGAGATTATTCAAAGTCATCTCTTTTCATATGTCTTGTAGGCGTCTTCCCTGATTTATTTTCTAAAAGGGTGGTTCCATAAAATTCAGCTCACCTTGCTGTCTGGATATCTTCAGTCCCAAAGAAGCGTTGCTCCAAATCTTCTTTGTCGCAGATGCGACATTTATTGGGGCAGGTCTCACCACACAGACCGATGCAAGGGTGACCGCATTTCCGTTTCTTTGAACAGGGCTTGTTGCATGGGGGTATGTTACAAGGCTCGCAGCACAACCTCTTGCAATCGTGATGCTCACATTTCCAGTTGCAACGATACGTACAAACATCACATGGCTCACTGCACGGATGCTTGCACTGCGAGTGACGACAACGCCGCGGACATTTCTTTTTACAGGAAAGACATGGTGCACCGCAAGTGAGGGCGCATTCGTGTCCGCACACCAGCTTTTTCTTACATGTCTTAATGCAGGGGTGGTGATAACGACCTTGTGAGCATTTTCCACAGGTCCCTTTGCACTTGTGCCCACATATCAAGATCTCCTCACAGGCGATGTAGCATGCGTCGCTTTCTTCGCAGCATTTAACTGTTACCTTATGACCACATGGCCAGTCATCTCTGGTGATCATCTCTGTACAGTACTCAGTGCAATCCAACCCACACCTTTCCTTGCAAATGTGGCCACATGGAAGCTCTTTACTGCACCTTGCTTTGCATTCTACTGTTTCTACTTCGGTCGAACAAATCATCTTCAATTTGTGACCGCAAGGCAAGGTTTTCTCAACATTTTCCTTGCATCTGTGGCCACACTGCAGTTCCTTGTTGATGATGACTTCACACTCATTTTCTAGATCTGAGCAGAACATTGGACATTTGTGGTTTCTCTCACAGATAACCTTGGAGCAAGGAACCTTGCACTTGTACACGAGATGCTTAAGATCCGTTGGGTGACACTTTAATCGACAAACGTGTCCACAGTCTAGCCTGGTATCACAGTCTCTACTACATCCTCCTAGTGGTACCTTCTTGAAGTCATCGGCAGTTTTCACCGCTGTCTTCTCTTCTGGATGATTGGTACATTGCAGCGTAAGGGAATCTCCGATTGATCCCATTGCTTCTAGATCTTTTACTATTCCCTTCCATAGCTCACTCTTTTCTGCAAAGAGGGTGAAGTTTCCAACGCAGTAGAGCCCTTTCCTTGCTCTTGACAAAGAGACACAGACTCGGTTTGAAATCCCCAAGAATCCAATACGCCCATGATTGTTGCTCCTCACAAAGGACAAAAGAATGATATCATTCTCTTCTCCCTGGTAGTTGTCTATTGAGGTAACTTTGACTCCCTCAAACTTGCTACGATCCATCATTTGCTTGATTTTCAGTAGCTGACCTGTATAAGCTGTGAGGATTGTAACCTTATCAGGTTCATACCCCTGCTGTAGGAAGTAGTAACACATCGCTACTACGAGTCTGGCCTCATGGAGATTGTAGTGACTCTGTGTATCATCCATTTCATCTTCTGGTTCTGCGTGATCTAGAAAGAAGATATCCTTTTGAACTGCTTTCACACTTTCGTATCGCTTCACTGTGTCATGGTCTTGGAGGTTGTCGTAGAAGTGCCTTCTCATCAGATTCGACAGTTCGATACGCATCCGATGTTGCAGCTCAAGCTGTGAGTAAGGAAATTCATTGTTGATAAGTCTTTCAAACAATGAAACGTCCAGATGATACTTCTTGGCCAGGAGGAACACGTTCGGTTTCGGACGAAGTTGTTGATGATCTCCAATGAGAATGAGCTGTTGACATGATGCATTTAATGCCGTGATGATGTGTGCCTCCAGTACCTCAGCTGCTTCCTCTACTACTACGATCTTTGGCCGGACTCTCTGCAAAACCTGCTGGTGATTAGCTGCTCCAGTTGTAGTCATACCGATTATAGTTGCCTGTCGAAGGACGTGGTATTTCTCTACGTCTTTAGCCTCATCTAGCTGACCACAAAGCTGCTTGAATTTGAGGTCATATGCTGGCAGTTTTCCTTTCAACTGTTGAAGGTAGTTCTGCAACCAAATATGGTAGAGGGCCCATCGGTCATTTGGATGCATACGCCAAACATCCATATTTGATCGAAGAGCACGTGGATCGAGAACATCCTTGCCAGACATCTTGCATTGGATAAACCTCCGCAAGATACCGTTCTCTGCTTTGTCCAGATCATGAAGGTCAAAGCCTAGGAAAGGGTAGTCCTTGTCTTCCTCTTCATCGGAATCTTCCTCACCAAATTCGTCATCAATCATTCTTTCAGACTCGATGGCACCTCGTTCAAATTCTACTTCGACTGTTGCCTCAATCGCTACAGGATCATTCTTTGTACCTTTCTCCATCTTTTCTTCATGCAGGTTATCCCTCTGTTCTAGTGTATCCTGTTTCTCTTGCTGGTTCCAATCCCTGTCATATTGACATTCACTGAGAAGCCACTCTACGAGCCAGGAGTTTAACTGTTTCAAATGAGAAAGACGCATGAGGCTGTTGTAATGCTGCCATGACATGAACGGGCCTAGTTCGTACTCGTTGATGATCCCATTTTTTGCACCCTCTATTCTGGCTTGCGTTCTCTCCACACGTCTCTTTGTAGCGTCAACTTCTTTCTTGACATGGCGAACTCTTCGTTGAACGTACTCTTCATCGTGTATTCCCCTCTGACCAACCATCCGATTAAGGTTGAAGGACTGCAACTGCTCACTCTTGCTACGGCTTCCAACTCGTACGATGCCAGTGCGATGGAATGTTAAGATCCCCTCCAGAAATTGATCCAGTGCATGATTTGTGTAGCACACAAGTAAGATTGGGCTAGGGTTTTCTTCACTTGACCAGACTTCTCTGTTAAGAAGAAGAGTCTCTACGATCTTCAGACCTATGTACGTCTTGCCGGTACCTGGTGGACCCTGTATAACAGAGAATTCTTTGGTGAAAGCTGTCTTGGCAGCTTCATATTGTGATTGGTCGAGCTGTATAGCGTCAATATCGGGCCAAGCACTATCGTCAAGTACGTTGATTATCGGAGAGCATCGTCGTGTACCCTTCAGCAGAGGTGAGATATCAATACTACATGGATTGATGAACATTTCACCGTCTTCAGTTACCATCCGATCTTGAAGATACCTGGGTGGCTTTACATCATGAAACATGCTCAAGGTATATCGGGAAAACGGCAAGCATGGGCCAGACATTCGCTGGAGACCCAGGAGAACTGGGCGATAAGCTTCAAAGAAAACAGATGACTCTGCCATCACAAAACTCTTATTCTGTAGACATGATGCATCTTCTCGGTCGACCAATGCTATGGCTACCAACCCCTTTTCTAGATCTTCTACGTCCCGTTTGGCCACTGTAGCAAATATGTAGGACTTGAAATCATCCGTTGATAGGATGAGCAATGATCCGTAGATGAGTCGTTTTGTCGAATGCCATCGGACATGAGGTAACATCTTGAAAGCCATGTAATGTGAAATTCCGGAGAAATCACGGACAGATCCATCGTAGAGAACTTCCTCGTAGATTCGCACATCCTGAACTTTGGCCTTTCTGTCAGGGTTGGCCTTCTTGAAAGTTAGGTACTCTGATATCCCATTGCGAAGAGGAAAGATGAAGTCTTCCTTAAGGAGTCTGAACTGAACATCCAGGTAGTGATCTGCATCGGCATATACACCTCTCGTCAGATGAGGACGGAGAAACGGCTGATATCCGGGTTGCAATTCCTTGACAGTGGGAAGAATGTCTTGCTGGCGGAAGTCGTCAGGGGGTGGGTTCTTAGAAATGCGGTCCATCTGTCTTTTTCCTTCCCTTTCTTTTTCAATGTCCTCGATGTGACTACTCAATGACTTTATGGACTCCATGATGTCGTCACGTTTGTCGTCTTCATCCATGTCTGCTACAGCATCGGAGATGAGAGTGACTGCAACTTTGAGATCTGAAGCACGGCTTGGCAAACTTTGCATGGCTGAGTGGAAAACAGTGATGACATTCTTCAAAAGATTAAATCGCCTTTCGCCGATATTCTCTCCTGGACGCCTGAGATTGGTCAAAACCGTGAGCAAATGCTGACGACAGAGTTTGGAGTCCAGTGTCATTGTCAGGAGCATGATCACTGTTTGTTCTGCACCTAGAGCTCCGCAAATAAATGCTAGAGCCTTCCAAATGAGATGTTGTCGTACCTCATCCATCGAGTCTTCATTGAGACCGGCTTGAAGGTTTCCTGTCAGGGACCCAAGTTCTGTAGCGGCCTCGGAAGGGTCTTTATCAAGTATTTCGATAAGAAGTCTGGAACTTAGTGGTCTAAAGTTACCTTGGTTCTTCTGGTATTTGCCTTGGGTCTGTCCATATCTGAAATGGTAGCAATGAAATAATGTGAATTTATTCGTATTGATTCATATTCAAGACATGGAAATCTTGTACCTACTCAATTTCATAAATTTCAAGATTGATACAAACTGTAATTTTCTTCTGTTTTAAGTCACCGTTATGTCAACTCGCTGTAAAAGTAGAGTATACAACATTTACGGGGCTAATCATGTACAATTTCTATTTTATAACAGGTAGGTGTCATCATAAAAAAGATATACCTCTCTTTAGTATGTTGAACAAAATCTAGTCATCTGATTGGTCGAAAATGGAAGGTCGTGATTTTAGCTATGCCCGCCTACCAGTCAATAGTTTTTTTTTAAGATGCCCGTTGTCCCGGGTAACGGGCCGCATCAATAAATTTTGCTAAGATCCCCATTTGTTTACGTGTAAAGAGTTTCTTTGTGCGAGCGCGGATACCATACAGTGTTTTGTGTCTGCGATTCCCGAATGATCGTAACATTCAGGCAATTTTCCAACGAAGGTTTACAGTCATTGTCTCAGATTTTCTGCCACTTGTTTACCAGTCTTTACTCATGAAAAGGATAAGGTAAGAATTCTTTGCAGATTTGTTTTTAAATTTGATATATCGACTGCTTTAATATTCGAAGCATAGCTGTTTCTATACCGGCTCTCGGGGAAGTTAAATCCGGATACGACCCCTCAGCGCGCCGAGGCGCAGGATGTAACGTCCCCTTGAGCCTACAGAAACAGCGATGCCTCTCATAGCAGTCAATATATCTATAATATTGACCTATTCAGCTGTGAGAGACATATTTATTGCGACGCATTATCATGTGTAAGAGAATATCGGTTCATATCGGCATATGGAAACAAAACATTCAAAGCGGTCTATCATGAGATAGTGTGTCCATTTTCAGCAATGGTACTCACTCCTTCATGGTTTGGTACTATACCTAGTATTTTCCTGTGTCCGATAGCCCTCTCTTGTTGATCTACCTACGTCCTGATCCATGTGGCCTCCTCTTTGACCGCGGCCTCTTGCCAGAACGCCTTGCTGTCCGTCTTGTTGCCTGTCGTTGTAGCGCTGGCGGAATGGGCCTCCTCTGTTACCGCCTCTTTCGCCTCCAACTTTCCTTCCACCTCCCCTCTCTCCATCATGTCCCCTTCCTCTCGCTCCTTCTGTGTCCCTTCCTTCTCTGTCAGCCATCATAGCGTCTCCTCTATCACGACTTCCTTCCCTCCTGTTCTCTCTTCTCCACATGACGTTATCTCCACCCGTAGCACCTCCTCTGCCTTGTCCTCTGCCTTGTCCTCTGGTCCCACCCCTTCGAAATCCTCTTCGTCTACCCCTCCCACGGTCATCTGTCGAGTTAGGACGAGACGCAAAACGTCCTCCGTTGTATTCATAATCATCATCACCCCACATCTTTGTCAACTTCCAGATATCTAGAGTATACAGAGAAACATATGATTAAGTTCCTTAAGAAAATATGAATTTGGTTATATAAACCTATTAGATTTTTCGTAACTGAATTAATTTCTTGGCTTATATATATATTCAAACATACATACTCGTACCCGTTAATGTGATATTGACGCTACCTTTTGTTCGTGGCAATATAGACTGCAGCGTAAGCTTAATTTCATTTCGGCCCTAACTTTAAATTGAAAAGCAAGGAAGCGAGTGACTGGCAAAGTAAGATTGATAAAGGAGGAGAGCGCTGGTATTTTAATACTATAATCTCCATACTTGTCGATATGACATGGCAGATGTTCATTAGTTATGATGGCAAGTCCTAGAAATTACTACATAAATGGACATGCATGTAAATAATGAATAGGCAGTGCGTATCAAAGAAAAAGTGTACCCAACTTTGAAAGCTAATAATTAAAAAGTAATTGAAGGAAGAGAATATAACAAATTTTGCTTGTAAATGAGTCTTTATTTTAGTTAGAGTTGACATTATATAACTTTTCTATTCAAGGGCTCAAAATCAATGTGAATAATTCTTTTGTGTTTTGTTTTACACTACATCGATTGTAAACCCACAGAAAATAAAATTGAATCGTCAGGGGTGAATCAAGGGTACGTGGGGGCGTGGGCTGTGCTGACGTATTGGTGCTAGCACACCCCCTTTTTTTCCTTTCGAAAAAAAAATCAGGATACAGAGCTCTACGAAAAGAGGGACTCAAATAGTGAAGAAAAAAGAGAGAGAGGCATAATAAATAGTCAGACCGTAGCCTACTAGGATTAGATGCACATTCTATTGATCGACGGACGTGCTGTCGTAGGGTCTTGTTTCTTGTCTCTGATTGGTCAGTGGTGGCTTTTACGAATCGCACCCTCTGGCCACAACTTGCCTTTACCATTTTACTGCTTGGTACATTTAACGGCCGCCCCCCCCCCCCCCCTTTAATTTGAAAAAAAATGTTCAGACTTCGCCATTGCTGAATTTGTCATTTTTATTGATTTTTTGGAGAAATGCTTGAAAAAAAAGCTCAATATTCACACAGGGAAAAAACTAAATATTCACATAAATGCCTCAGAATGTACCATAGAGCATCTCAAGGTTCAACATTTTCCAGGGGCTGTAAAGCAGGCCCCGGACCCCACGACTTTTACCACGATTTCGTAATTTTCACGCCCCCTACCCCTTGGAAAATCCATGATCCGCCACTGATATGATGACTGGCACGTGATTATTGTTTGACCTCACGTTCTCATTAAGTGGTTATGAAGCTGATTATGTTTCTGGGTATAAAGGTCAATTACATCGGGTAACTACATACAAGCTACTATATGAGCTGCGCACGGAGGGCCGGGCTTCAGGATAAAAAATAAATAAAACGAACTTGATTATTTCTTCATACAATAATATCAATTCAATGGTTTGCACACACAAAAATAGTCAACTTGCAATAGTTTTGCACAACCTCAAACATTTCCCATCTCATTAAAATATGGTATTCTACAAAAAACAGTCAATATTGAGATGACGAAAAAGACAAAAAGACGTTATTATTATTTTTTTTTTTTAAGTGAATACCATACAGTAGGCTTTCGATGAAGTGAATACTAGTTATCGATTTTTAACTATATAATCAACAAATCTCCAGTGACTTCCTTAACACCATCGAGACAGTACATCAGACAGAAGGAGAACAAGTAAAGTGCATACAGTGGCGGATCCAGGGGGAGGCCCCGGGGCCCGACACCCCCCCCCCCCCCCCTCGCGGAAAAAAAGGTAAAAACACGTTAGTTTTACCTTTTTTTGGAGATGGGCCCCCCCCCCCCCCGACGCCCAAGGGGGGGATGGGTGCGATTTTTCAAATTTTCGAGGGCCGAAAAAAAAATAGCGCTCACTGTCTCCCCCCCCCCCCCCCTCCACTGAGCGAATTATCAACCGCCTTATTTTCAAATTTCTGCACACTAAATTTCAAATTGATTTCAAATATGGGCACCCCCCCCCCCTAAGAAATCCTGGATCCGCGCCTGACATAATCCCGAGTATCAATTTTTTGAATAACCGGTTATGTTGGTTGATTTGGGGTTGATTGTGAATGGGTCATTAATAATGTTTCCGGTTGGGATTCACACATCCATGAAATCCTATCATAATATGTTGTTATAGTGATTCTAGGGGGCGTTACTAGGATAACCGACACCCACACTCCTCCGTTTAAAATGTAAAAGTACATATTGACTGTGTGCGCAAGATATACTCTGTAAACACTGAAGGTTGTGTTAATGATTAAAAACCGAGAAAAGCAAATGGTTCCAAAACAAATTGCTTCATATGCCACCCCTTCAAATGGCTAAATCAGAATCAGAAAGAGAGAGTTAGTGATAGTGATGGTGATTTTTTTACCTGACTGCTTAGAAAGCATGAATGCTTGTTAGTAAGCAACCAGACGGCCGACGGCTTTAGGTCCTCTCCGAGGGACCTGGTAATGAGGATTAATGCCTTATCAAAGGGCACTAGCGCATCGACTTGGTTTCGAACCCGGGTCACCGGATTACGAGACCATTGTTCTACGGATTGAGCTATCGCGCCTCCTCAGAGATGGTAAAAAGAGGGTGAATGGAACATGAAAAAGAGACGGCAAAGAACCCCATATCCTCCGTTTAATCAATGGCCTTGGATTCCGCATTTCATCCATCAATATGATATTTAGCAGTTTTCCCTACTAACCTTGACTTTTTAACAGACAAAGAAACTTTTTATGAAAATTCAGACAATGATAAAGAGTCGAAAACGATAAAATGGAATCGTCTTCTTTCTCTAAAAATTCAATGAACCGCCCCCCCCCCCTAAAATAAAATCCTAGCCACGCGCCTGATAGTTCGTAGGAAATATAATTTAGCCCCCGCCACCGGGTTTATAGGGTTAAATTTGTAGACATTGGGACATTGGCATTAATATAGGTGTCGGTAATTGGTGGCTAGTTTTGTCGGCAATCGGTAGGCTCTACATCCCCCCCCCCCACTGGAAGAGGTCTAGCGACGCCCCTGCTCATCAGTACTGCTAAAAAAAATCATAGTATTACCCAGTACATTTCGCTCCAGTATTTGTTTTTGTTTTGTTAATTCCTTCACACTTTTCCTCAATAATATTCGAGAATACAGTTGATTACTGATTAAAATCTGTTCCGTTCATTTAGCAAATCGGTCTTAATCCTTAGAGAAAAATATTAAAAGCAATATTATTATACGCTCTCGGGAAGGTTACAATTGGGCTATTGCCCTCGGCATGCCTCGGGCAATAGCACAATTGTAACCTTCCCTTGAGCGAAAGAACTATTTCTCTCAAAGCAGTCATTAATACTATACTATCATACTCACCAATCACCAATACTCTGATGACATCAGGAGTATGCTCCCTTCTGATTCCACACTGGCATCAGGGGGAATATCGAGCATCAGTTCAAGCGGCGATTTCCGTAGCCCCGTGATTCACAGTTAGGGCTATAACTCTAAAAACCGATGTTACTCGCTCCTTATATAACAGCTTTTTCGGTCAAACGAATATTCTGTAGTCATTAAATTAAAGATATTAGAAGCCTACAGTTAATCAGAGTAGGTGAGTTATACGTACTGTTGGACATATGGACGAAGTGGTGTGACATGAGAATAGGAGTGTAACCGTTTGTCTGATCTGTGCCGTGTCTAGCGTATCAAAGACACGCTTTATTATTAGACTTGGGGAATTCCACGTCTCAAGTCCCCGGTGTATGTAGGCCTATGTCAATACCAGTAGTCATCACGAAATAATCTTTAAGCATAAAGGCTGTTCACAATAAAAATTTCACATAATATCATGTCAGTATGTCTAAATATAGTTTGGTCTTGTCAATTCCACTTGCAATTAATCAAATATGACTAACACAAATAATGATAAAATAAGTAATGAATGAGAATAACAAAGAAGAGGATTTTTTTTTTTAATATTGTACCCATTTACCCCTAGGTTTAAGAGTGGCATGTGTGGATTAATATCTAGCCAAAGGACGTTAGTGCTGGGCTGGGATTCGAACCCTAGGACTGAGAGCCGAGTGAATGAACCATTATACCACAACACCTCCACAGTATATGGAGGTGACGTAATTTAAAAAGAAATGATAGTAGCCTATAAAGATCAATTCAATAGGCCAAACATGATTTATATATTATGAATGATGTAATAACTTCTTTGTCACCCCAACTTCTCTTTGTTCTTGAAAGTGTACTTATTCTACTTTTGCGTTTTCAAAGGTTTTACTTTTGTATTGATATTTCTTTATTTTAAATGCAATACAGATGTGTATACATTCCGCTTAGTATTTACTGTTATGAAATTTGTATTTTCTTGGAAATGAACATAACTGAATGAATTGAATATGAAATTATGTACCACTAGTGAAGCAAAGACGTAACTTAATTTACATAATGCATATGTTTTTATTTTGATTTGTTCCAAACACCGTGAGGTCCTTCTGTTTCCACCGTCCGAGAAATCTTTTAATCTTGCTTAAAATCTCCTAATAATTCAACTCCTCTCTTATTCTGACGTCAAACGCAAAATGCACTGCCAAAGTCTTAATTTCTTTAACCAAATTCTCGAAGGGCATTTTTATGCCTCCGCCACCGAAGGTGGTGCCGGAGGCATCATGTTTTCGGGTTGTCCGTCCGTACGTCCGTCCGTCCGTACGTCCCGTTTGACCGTTATCACAATATCTCAAGAACCATTTAAGATTTAAACTTAAGACTCGGGAATAGTATTTATCACCATAGGAAGACGATCTGATTAGATTTTGGAGTACGTAGGTCAAAGGTCACAGGTCACAGAGGTCAACTTATGAAATTCCTTGTATTGAGTTTGTTAGCGCGATATCTCAACAACCATTTGAGATTTAAACTTCAAACTTAAGGATAGTATGTATCACCAT